CTTCGCCTGTCCCCAATAGGACTTGTCATTTTCCACTGCACTATACAGCTTTTCCTTCCATTAGAATGCGAGCTCCACAGGGGTAGGCATCTTCATCTGCTTTGGTCACTGACACATTACGAGTCCCTAGAAGAGTGCCGACACATTGTAGGTGCTGAGTAAATAAACAGTAAGTGAATTAATGGAGGAGCCTGCCCTTGGCCACCCAGCTGGTAAGTGGCAGAGCTGGGACTCAAACCTGGCTCTGGTGTCCACACTTGGAAGTGCTCAGTATGCTGCCAGGATGCTGAGCTGGCACTCCTGCCAGGGGCCAGGTCAAGGGGCAGAGTGTCCAGTTCCCCTGAGTAGGTGGGCCCTGGCACAGGCTGCTGGTCCTGTGGGAGTCTCACAGGGCCATGGAAGGTCTGACTCCCCCAGCCCTTCCCTGTGTGGAGGGAGTAAGGTCTGGTACAGCAGAAGCCCCTGCAATCTATCTGCAAACTGGATAAGGGAGTGCTCTTCCAAAGCAAATCTAATGAAGTCACCACCTGGTTTAAAACCCTCAATGGCTCCCTATTGCTCTCTAGATAAAGTCTAAGTCCACCAGCACAAGCACACAGTTTACAAGGCATCCCCCACTTTATGAGCCCTTCCAGGCCTGGAGCCTCACCTCCCACCATTCCTCACCTTAAAGTTCATATCAAGCTACACTAGCCATTTCTCACCTCTATGCTAATGCTCCCTTGGCTAGATCCTCTTACTCAACCTTGAAGGCTTGCTGAACTCCAGAGACCTCCTAGACTCCCCTCCTTGGCTTTCTGGGCTGGAATGGGTGTCCCTTGTGTTCTCATAATCCCTTGTGTGTGGCTTCATCACTGTATTTATCATACCATATGGTGATTCCCTGCTGTGTCTCTCTCATGAGAGCTTCATGAGGCCATGGACTGGGTACTCAGCACATAGCACAGTGTCTGGCTCATAGCAATGCCCACTGCACTCTAATGAATGAATACTTCTTTCATAAATTAACTGGGCGAGGTGGGAAGGTTTATGAATACATTATGTGCAAATATGTGCACTGAATCCTGTTTGCAGAGAACCAGGCCAGAGTCCCCCAACAGGGACAGGAATCACTTAAAAATCCTGGGGTAAAGGTCAAGCACCACTGAGCTACAGGCAGCTGGGACCCATGCTGAATTGATGCCCAGTCGGGTAAGGGGAGCTGCTTGCCCAGCGTGGCCCTGCAGAGGACCTTTGTAGGAACAATGGCTGGTATATCTGGGTCCCCTGATGTCCCACTGCACCTTGCAGCCCCTGCCCCACCCCCAGTTAAGCATCTGATGGTGCATCATTTATCCTTCTAGGTGTTCTGTCTGCTCTCACCAAACAGATGGTCCACTCCTCGAGGAAAATTTGTTTCCAGAGATGAGATGGCTTAAGCTGAAGCAGGCCAGATGGCTCTGTTCCTAGTTACAGAAACTCTGGGAGAGCAAGGGTGGGAAGGGATTGGCCTGAGAAGACAGATATGCCTCAGTTTATCCAAGGACCTTCACAAAGTTTTCAGATTTGAGTCTTGCATCAGACTCCCTGGAGGGCTTGTTAAACCCAGGCTCCTGCCCCACCCAGAGGTTCAGATCCGGTGGGCCCGGCATGGAGCCAGGACGGCACCAGAAGGCTGATGGAGACACTGCTGCTGGTCCCTGGATCATGCCTGGAGGAACCCCACTTTGGAGGCCCCTTGGAGGGAGCGGGAGGTACTCACCCTCCTGTGCCTGGAGAGGGATCTGGGAGGCAGCAGATTTGGTGCTGCCCTTGCTCTTCTTGCTTCCCTGGCTGGCGAGAGATGGGTGAGCTTGCAACTTCCGGTGGGCCTTGGGGCCACCCAGGGCACCATTCCCCGCCCGCCTGGC